ACTTTTCATTTTAACATACATTTTCATAGTATAGAATCATAGAATAGTTAGGGTTGGAAAGGACCTTAAGATCATCCAGTTCCAACCACCCTGCCATGGGCAGGGACACTTCACACTAAACCATGCCACCCAAGGCTCTGTCCAACCTGGCCTTGAACACTGCCACGGATGGAGCATTCACAACCTCCCTGGGCAACCCATTCCAGTGCCTCACCACCCTAACAGGAAAGAATTTCCTCCTTATATCCAATCTAAACTTCCCCTGTTTAAGTTTTAACCCATTACCCCTTGTCCTGTCACTACAGTCCCTAGTGAAGAGTCCCTCCCCAGCATCCCTATAGGCCCCCTTCAGATACTGGAAGGCTGCTATGAGGTCTCCATGCAGCCTTCTCTTCTCCAGGCTGAACAGCCCCAACTTCCTCATCCTGTCTTCATACGGGAGGTGCTCCAGTCCCCTGATCATCCTTGTGGCCTTCCTCTGGACTTGTTCCAACAGTTTCATGTCCTTTTTATGTTGAGGAAACCAGAACTGCACACAATACTCCAGGTGAGGTCTCACAAGGGCAGGTGAGGTCTCACAAATGCAGCCTGGGGTGCAATATACACAGGCAGCAGAAGCTGTTTGGGTTGCAAGTGTGTCTGAAGCACTGGCCTGGGCTCCAATCAGAGTCCCACAGTCACTGGACCCCATGTGATGCAAGGGAGGACAAAGAGAAGAGTCCTGCTCTGTTTGCTGTCACTGACACCCAGGCTAACCACATTATAGCCCTCCTTTTCTCCTCTTGATTCCTCCAGGAAAGCTGCTCCTGCTCATCACCCTACAAGCTGCTCCATGCTCCTGTAGGACAAGATGTTGCTCTGTGCTCCACTCTTGGAGACACAAGAAAGGACTCAGTGGACTCAAACCTGCAGGCTGGATGTGGCTCATTCTTCAAGAAGCTGCAAAACTTCTGTTTCTTCCCCCCCACACATACACCTTGCTTTCTCATTTTGGTAACTTCAGGCCTGATTTCAGTCAGTCCGAACCTATGTATTCTGCACAGGAAAGCCCTCAATTCTCTCTTTCCATCCTGATTCGTTTTCTCCTGTGATGTGGAAGTTTCTGCATCCTTGAAAAATCCACATCCCTGTTTCTGAGGAAGCAGGTCGGGGGGACGGGGCAGCAGTAGGCTAGTCTCAGTTTCAGTAGAAGGGTTATTTCCCTTGCTCCTAATCTCTCCTGCATATCACATTTCCTCTCTGTTTCATAAATGAACAAATTTATTGTAATCATTAGAGTTTTACTTCAAAATTAAAGGCAGGCTAATACAGAACTCTGCACGTATTAACTCTGACTTTGCTTTTGTGACATCAGATGTTTCTTAACCAAAACCATATTGTTTTGTGAAGTCTAGTGATTTTAGGCACCTTCAAAACAAGGGAGTTAACCTCCCATTAACTGTTAGCCTTTCTTCATCATAAACAACCCAGCTCCAGATCAATGGTGGTGACATTTGCTTTCGCAAATGCAAGTGTTTGTTTCTCTCTCTCTGTAAACAGAGGTAATGTCTTCATGGCCTTTTCGGTTTAGTTGACATTGAGAAACACACAGTGTAAAGACACAGCTCAGAAAGCCCTGGCTGCAGGGCTGGTTCTTCTGGGAAGGTCCGGAGTCTCATGCTAAGGGTGGCTCTGAGGTTCAAGCAGAGCTCCATGGGTTGGTGTGCTTGAAATCCAGAAGCTTTCTGAGAAGTTCATTTGGAACTCCAGATCTGACATTTGGCCTCTGCATCATTTCAGCCATGCCCCAGGCAAGCCCAGGACTCAGGACCATACATTTGGTGGGGCAGATGCCCTCACCTCTGCCTGTACGAGATAAACTACGTTGAGAAGAAACAAGAGTGGCTGGAGCCAAGCACTGGAGAGAAAAAGGCCATCTGCTGCCCACAGAAGCTGTGGCTGCCCCATCCCTGGCAGTGTTCAAGGCCAGGTTGGACACAGGGGCTTGGAGCAAGCTGCTCTAGTGAAAGGTGTCCCTGTCCATGGCAGGGGGTTGGAACTGGATAAGCTTTAAGGTCCCCTCCAACCCAAACCATTCTATAATTGCTCCATGGTACAAATGCTGTATTTGCTGGAGCTTCTTTTGTCCTAGTCAGGTCATGGGAAAGGGAAGACAAACACTGCAACGTGAAATGTGTCCTCACATGGGTTCTGTGAGGGAGCAATAGGGTCGGAGTGGAAATACAGGAAGATGCCAGAGAAAGGATCCTTCCCATTCCCTCAAAACCTATTGGAGAATAGGCTGCATGCATTTCATTGTTTTCCAGTCTAGAGGTTGCACCTGGGGTTGTTGATACCAATGCCACTTCTTCCCACTTTTCCCCTCTATCCCATGCTGCAGCTCGGAGCTGCTGTCCGAAGCAACCACTAGAGAAAGGATTTAACAGCCCAGGAGACCCAGCCATGGCATCTCTGTCTGTGCTTCAACCACAAGCTCCCACACTGGCCACAGGGCTAAAAATAAATGGGAGCTATTTAAATCGGAAAGCAAGATGTACTTTTCCTTCAGTCCTGCAGGTCTGAGCAGGAGCAGCTAAAAGAACAGAATGGTTTTGTTGTTTTCCTCAGCTTATTTTAATCCTCCCATGGATAAGTTATGAAATTGTGGTAGCACATTTATTGACTCCAAGCATTCATTCAGAAGCTGCAGACCACCGAAACCCACAATTTTACTCATGGAACAATCCCTCTCCCAACAGAAGCACCAGTTTGAGGCTCATAAATAACAACAGTAGGGAAAGAGGAAAAGCCTAAATAAGATGGGGAGAGAGGGTTCAATAACAAACACAGCTTGCTTTTCAAAACAGCCTTGCAAAAATGCTGTTTGTACCACAGGTCTCAGCTGGACAATACAAGGAATGTCAGGAATCTTATTTCTCGAGTCCATTCTTTGGGGAAAAGGCAGTTTTCAAGAAATACCCGATGATACGATCCTGAAAACAGTTCTATAAATCACAGCTAATTCAGCCCCAAAACAGCTATTTTGGAGCTCCAGCAACCATGGCACGAGACGTGCACATATCTATTACTTCTGGTCTGTGTTTCTTTCAGGACGGTTTATTCCAAGACCTAAGTGCTTTGCACGTATCTTCTTAGAATCACAGAATCCCAGACTGGTTTGGGTTGGAAGGGACCTTAAAGCTCATCCAGTTCCAACCCCTGCCACGGGCAGGGACACCTTCCACTAGAGTGGGTTGCTCCAAGCCCCTGTGTCCAACCTGGCCTTGAACACTGCCAGGGATGGGGCAGCCACAGCTTCTCTGGGCACCCTGTGCCAGCGCCTCAGCACCCTCACAGGGAAGAACTTGTGCCTAAGGTCTGATCTAAACCTACCCTCTTTCATTATCATATTTTTCAGTTTTGTGTTTTAATCACCTCCTCAGCACACAAAATAGCTGCTTTTCCTCACTGACTCCTCCCCATGCTCCTGTGGGGCAGCAGCGCGCATAGTGGCAGCTTCACCAGCATGGCTGACAGCAAGCAGAGGACAGAAACTACAAGAACTAAGCCCAGTTTCCCCCATGGCATTGCCTAATTGGCAGTGTCAAGAAGCAGAGACGCAAAGGCATCTACTGCCCACCAGAACCCCCCAGGTCATGGGATCAGCTGTGTGTCTACACTCACTGCATCAGCAAGGTATCAAAGGAGACATCCAGAGTGAATCTCCAGACCTGCTGGATGTAAAGCTCTGTTCATTGCGTGCCTGTGACACAGAGCAGAGGCGTGACACAGGAGCGTCCTGAGGATGGATGGGCTACTTAACACATTGGCTGTCTCTGTGGAGCTGCTTGGAAGGAGGTAGCTTAAAGGATGGAGGCTTGATGGGCAGGCAGGGAGTCTGTGTGCTTCTTTGACACACTGCAGTAGCAGTCTTTTGGGTGGAAAAATGATGAAAGCTTTGGAAACAGAAGAATCATTCCAGGGAAGGTTGAGAGAAGATTTAAAGTAAATTGGGATGGTGTCTGCACCAGGATGCCAGCGCTGCCAGGCATCCTGAGGGGAGGCCACCCTTGGAGCCCATCTCCTTCCCGGAGGAGGTGATTTCCTGGCCATGAAGCTGAGGATTATTGAAGGTTACTGGTCTTACCACTTTCCCCAGACAAGGAAGATGAAATGGCACCAACAGAGCAACTGAACAAGGCTGGGAGTTGGGAGACATCCTCATCATGGATGGCCTGTGCAGGAGCAGCATCGCAGCACAGCTCAGCCACCTTCCCCTCCTCAATGCCTGTCTGTAACCCTGTAACAGGGCAGGGAGCAGAGGCTGATGATGGCAGTAGACAGATTCCCATTCCCAGAAAGTCAGGGCTTCACAGGAAAAAACACGTTCATAGAATCATAGCATGGTTTGGGTTGGAAGGGACCTCAAAGCTCATCCAGTTCCAACCCCCTGCCACGGGCAGGGACACCTTCCACTAGAGCAGCTTGCTCCAAGCCCCTGTGTCCAACCTGGCCTTGAACACTGCCAGGGATGGGGCAGCTACAGCTTCTCTGGGCACCCTGTGCCAGTGCCTCAGCACCCTCACAGGAGAGAATTTCTCCCTAATATCCAATGTTCTCCAGGTACATCTCATGTCTACCAAATGCCACAGACCTGTTCCCTTGCTCCACCATTAGCTCTGTATGGACAGCCTCCACATCGACCTTGGTGGTACCCAAGTTCATCCTCCCTCCCTCTAGCCCCAGCTGCAGGGCACTGGGGTGTCTCAGTTGGTGCTGCCCCATATCCACAGTCACTTTGGCCCTGCTACCCGCAGTGTCAGTGGCTGAATTCCCCTCATTTGAGTGCTGCCCTAAGTGATTAACCAGACAAACACCACCCCACAGCAGACCAGCTGGACGGGTGACTTGAAAGCAGTTTTGCTCATGACACGCTTGGACTCTGCCTGGCGAGAGCGAAGGGTGAAGCTAAAAACACCATCCAGCAGTGAGCACATTTTTGCATTTCAAAGAAAAAACAATTTTACTTGCTAATAAATGATTTGTTTATTTACCCTTTCCTCCCAGAGAATGGCTTCATGGCTGCAAGTCCAGATAACTTATGCTTCTATTTAACCCACGTGTGACTTTGAGGTCATCCATTCAGGGAAGTGTAGCATTTCTTACCATGGTATGGAATAAAAATAGGGCTGGACTCTTGCCAGATGGGAGGTTTGTATCTCCCAATGCAGAAGACACCCAAGTGGCAGTCTGGCTGGTGGCCATGCGTAGGGGAGAGGTCAGGAGCCATCCATCAGGTTGGGTCCTTTCTGGGTGAGCAGAGCCGAGTCAGTAAGTAGTTAAGTCTCCTGCTCCATGCCTGGAATTGGAAAAGCCATTGGGAGTGGTGTTATTTTGCTGTGCAGTATAGCACAGAGTGTCAGCTGGTTTGTTTTGTTTGCTAATGTAGCCCAACAAGTGACTGGTGGGTGAATTTAATCCGCTGGAGAACACACAGTTCCTGGATAGGTTTTGAGATATGCCCAATAGTGAAGCCATTTCCCTGGACACCTCCAAGGGTTGGGGTTGCGGGTTGTTTGCTTCCCCTTTGCTTTGTTTTTAACAGAGAGCAGACCTCATTTATTGTAACAGGAAAACCAAGTGCTCTATTAAAGTCATGATTACGCTGCTGCCAAGTATTTGGGATGCTGGAGTTAGGATTTTTCCTTCACTAAGAAAAATCTCCCTGATCCCCTTCACAGGTAAATCTCTACACACCTTTCAAAGGTCAGTTTTTCTTCATGTTCCCCTTGTGTCAGTATCATTTGTTTCATACTGGTAAGTTTCAGATGAAAACAAGAATATCTCAGTGATTCAGAACTGAAGCACCCCAGTTCAGGTTTGCAATAGAAAACAGCTTTCCAATGAGACATTTGTGTGTCTTCAGGAGCTCCAACCATTGCCCAAAGAGAAGACTGCAGTGCTACAGATGCTGTCTAATTAATCCTCCCTGCACCTTTGGTGTATAGAGGGTATTAACCTCAATTTACAGATCAGAAATAGGAGGCAGGAGGGAGATGATTGACAGCTGTAATGAGCACATTGCTTCACTCAGCCAAGGATTACAGCTCATGGTTCCCAATTCCCTCATTAGTAAGCTATGCAGTTCTTCCAATGGACCAGAAATGAATATTGGGGAATAAAGCAAAATATTTGCCTTTAGATGTTTGTGTTCCTGCAAAATATCTTGCTACTGAAGGTGATTACAAGCCCTGCTTCTGCCACTGTCACCTCTCCTGGCTTTGTTAATGACAAATTCATCTTGAGGGAGGAAATATCTGCTGTCACACCACGTCATAGGAGGAAGCATTACAGAAATGTAACTATTCAGCAGTCTTCAGGGGATCTGGCTGTGCCGGGGGCTGTTCTTCACATGCTGATTACGGCTCCCATGCTGCTTTATTTGCTGAGTGTTTAAGTCCTGGTGCCAATGGAAACCCAGTTTCATCAACAGTGTTTTCTGGCAAGAGAACATAAAATTGATTAAAAATTAATTCAAATCACCTTAGTAAAATCTTAGAACTTTGTATAACTCCAACAAGTGAAAACCAACACTGCTCTGTAGATGACACAGCTTTTTTACATACATTGGGGCTGCTCAGCCTGGAGAAGAGAAGGCTGCGTGAAGACGTCAGAGCAGCTTCCAGTAGCTGACAGGGGCCTGCAAGGATGCCAGAGACGGACTCTTCATCAGGGACTGTAGTGATAGCACAAGGGGTAATGGGTTAAAACTTAAACAGGGGAAGTTTAGACTGGATATAAGGAGGAAGTTCTTTCCTGTTAGGGTGGTGAGGCACTGGAATGGGTTGCCCAGGGAGGTTGTGAATGCTCCATCCCTGGCGGTGTTCAAGGCCAGGTTGGACAGAGCCTTGGGTGACATGGTTTAGTGTGAGATGCCCCTGCCCATAGCAGGGGGTTGGAACTGGATGATCTTAAGGTCATTTCCAACCCTAACTATTCTATGGCTATATGCAAGCAGCAGGCCAGGAAAAATCCATAGGAGAAATCCCAGTGACTCCAAGGCATTGCCCCGTGACAGTTGATTTCACTATTGCATCTCTTCAACAGTACAGAAGAACAGATCACAGTGCCACGGAGATGCTTGTGGATTTATGGCCTCATCCTACCTACTCAAACCCCTTCTATACCTCCTGTCTATGGACTTTAAATCTTAAACTTCTGTAGGCACTTTGGGTTTAACAGAGAGGTTTTTCCAGAATAAAGTTGTTTGGGTTTCCCCCCACACTGGAAAAGAAAGGGTTTTCTATCAAAATCTGTGAGATTCATAATTGTGCTGCAAAAGGTATTCCCATTTTCCTGAAACGGAAGGGTTGATGCCACTCCGACTGGAACACCGCAACTTTCCCTTTTGCTTGCAATACAATGATATAATTTCTGAGAAGGGAAAAACACTTTCATCAGTGAAAAAAAAAAAAGACAACAGTTTATTTTTGGTTTTGAGATTTTCTTCCCATTTCGAAACTGTTTTTTTTCCCTGCCATTCCAGAATGTGTTTTCTCTGATTCCAGATTTTTCCATAAATAACAAGTCTGATTCCTGCCCTGCTCTGTTGCATCCTTTCTGCAGGGTCCTCCCAGGAATGGCATGCCTCAAGGATTAAAGAGATGTAATGTTTGTAGAGAGATAAAGATTAAGTTCACTCAGTTCTTAGACCTCATGCCGGGTCCGAGCACGAGGCTGGATTTCACTTTGTAGGAGTTATCACAACTGAAACTGCTCTTCAGTGGAAACCACTATGCAACCATCCATTTGCAGTTGTAAAAGTCAATATATTTAAGCCTGCAGTGCATAACAATGACCCCTATGGATCCTCCAACGTTTTTCTTGGATCTCTATAAGCCTGGTTTTAATATATTACTCATCTAAATTGTTCCTGGGACTTGATTATTTGCTGGAGTTAAATATCCAATCTGAAAAGATTTTTAAACATGTGGATGCTGAATTCCCCACTGCACTAAGCTTCATTTAGCTCGACTAAAACTGCCATGCCATAAAAAAATGCTTAAAAACATCTCAAACGAACTGCTCTCCTGGTTGGTGGAAGCTCCCCAGGCAGGATTCCTTAGTGATGATAATCTCTGGTTTTGGCTGGCTCTGTTTAGTTCCCTGGAAGAATAAAATCCAGTTTTCACTGAGCTGGATATTGAGGTGAAAACAGAGGGCACAGCCGTCCCCTCTCCCCTGCAGCGTCCTTCCCCGTAAGTACATGGATACTGGATGTTCCCCAAGGAAAAAAATGTGGCAAGCCAAGCGATCTACAAAACAATATTGATTTATGCTCTGCCTCTGAAAAGGGGATGAAATCACCCTTGTTTGCATGCGCAAGGGCTCGCTGCATTCCTTCCAGTCACCGGGGCTGTGGAGAGCCCTCCTTGGTATTCAAAGGCAAATCCCTGCAGATCCATCCCAGCACCGGGCAAGTCCCTTTGTAACCATCAAGTGATGGGGCAAAGCCTGCTGAATTCAAAGCAGATCAAAGCCTGTTCAGCCTTTGCCTGGTTTGCTTTCCAAGCGCCAGCTCCTTTTCAGGATGCTGGTGTAAATTAGGGGCCAGTCTGTTGAAGGAGATGGAGTTATAGGAGAAAAGAACTGGCTCAAAAACCAGAGAAGCCAAAAACCACTGCACAGAGTTCAGCAGGCGAGTTTCCTTCCCTATTTCTTCTGCAAAGAAGGAGAACTGGGTCATAACTGCATACAGCCTAGATATTTCCCCCTCCTCTCCTTTTCTATATGGAAGGGCAATTGGGCAATCATGCGAAGAAATGCATAAAGCTCAGCACAAGGTGCAGGGATTTTTTCCTCCTCCTCCTTGGAATAATCTTCCCTTTCGCTCTACAGCAATGAATACTAACAGGGGGGATGTTTTCAGAGTGTTAGGATGGTGTTTAAAGGAAGCACCACACATTTATTCCTAAACCATCAGGTTTGTTTGCCTTTGTGACTCTGAAGTTTGGGGGGAAACACCCCGATTTATGCACCTTTGATTGATACCTGTGGAAATTCAGAGTGTTTTTATCTCAGCCATGCAGTCAGATTTCTGCCGGTTTGGCCACAGAGCCTCCCTCCAGCTTCAACAACTTGATATCCAGAATGAATGAATCTGATCTGTGCATGCTTTTACAACCCCCTTGTCTTATTCCCCCCCAGGGAAAAATATCATCTGCCCTATTGTTGACTGCTGGGATTTACCCCCACAGTATCTCTCCCATCAACATGTGATTAATCACCCTAATCCAGCAGGCACCTCTCAGGAACTCAAGACCTTTTACAAGCCTTAATTAAGCCTTGCAACATCCCCGTAAAATAGGTTGAAGCTGGGGTTAAATGATTTGCCCGGGGTGACAGAGCAAATCAGAAGCAGGGATAGAAATCAGAAGGAAAGCTGCTGCTTCTGAACTACATGCATGGCTCCCAGGATTGATGCAGGATAGCAAAGCCTTTCTATTTCTCTTTGGAGATGGGGTCCTACAGCCACCAAAGCCATGCAGCCACGCAGGCAGGCTTCCCCAGCTCTCACCCACTGCCTCCATCTCTTCAGCCCAGGCATCCCCTGCAAGCCCAGCCTCTCCCCTTGCCCACGGTCCACGTTCACAGCTCACTAACCGACTACTTGTACAAGCTTTAAGTGCCTGTAAACTGGCAGCTGAACCCTGCCCCGGAGCTGACCATTCTTCATGAGCCACCTCTCCTCATTTGACACCCAAATTGGAGTCAGACCCTCGACACTTGGCACATCATCAATTGCAGAGAAATCAGAGCCAGGTGTGAGGATGCTGGGGAATGGGAATCTCCCTCATGGCCTCTGTAATCACAGCAAGGATGGTGGATCCAGGGAAGCCTTAAGGGAGGCAAAATTAGCAAAGGGGGGAAATGCATAACCTCTTTTCATGGTTTGGGAGCTCCTGACACCTTGCCAGGGGACTTTTGTGGGATCACTTCTTTTCTAGACCCAGGTATTAAGGAGTCTCATGCAGGTGGCGACGAGGGCTGACCATGTGCTTGCTTCTTTCTCTCCATCAAGTTGGGAAACACAGTTGTGGGTTTCTGAGGTTGGTTTTCTTCTTTTTCTTCCCAGGAAAAAATCTTTGCTTTGTTTTCCCTTAATTTGCCCCAGATTTTCATAGCAGACTGTATCATTAAACAAACAAACCAGCAACCCAAAATCAATGCTCTCTCAGCTGGCTTAGTGGTTTCCTCAATGACCCAGCAGCAAAAGCAGACTGGAAGGGGAAGGAAGATCTCTCCCTGTGGTACCCACCAAAGTGGGATCTGTTGGGAAAGACAAATACCTACAGCTCCAGGAAAATGTCAGTTTTCCTTAAAGAAGAGGGTTCCTCTATCCTTCCCTCCACTGCTTGCGCAGCTTCTTCAATGTATTCCTAAAGGTCATCCAAGGAAACATTATTCCTAGAAGACTCCTCCTCCCCCAGCACTTTACATCTCCTCTCACAAGCTTTACACAACTTGGCATAACATTGAATAAATCAACTATAACCAATTCTATGAGGAAATGATGGTCTGAGGCCCTCACGCATGCTCTGCCTGTGAGAAGGAGGGAGAGCATCAGCCCTTTACAGCACTGCTGAAAGCTTTAATGAAACATGAGAATAAGCAAAGCCACCAGATCCCCACTACTGTTTGGCATCTGCCTTATCTATTTTCTTGGGGGCCAGCTCATGTCTTTGGCATATATCTAGCCTGAGGGACATCCTGGCAAAGGGATTAACTATTCAAACAGAAAGCATTATCCACTGATGTGATCCCCTGAACACACAGGACCTCTCCAACCCAGTGGCCTTGTCTACCATGACTCCCTGGAGACACCCTCTGCATCACAGCATCTGATGGGGACAGAAAGCTGGTAGAGCCGGTGGCCCCATGCAGCATCCCTGGGGATGCTCTCGCGTGCCGGTCCATGTGGGTTACTCCCAGGAACAGCTTGTCTCCAGGTTTGCTTTGGTGTACACATCTGGGCAAGTGGCATACCGCAGCGCTCAGGCATCTCTGCCTCGAGAGGTCCCCTGGGAGCTGCATCAAAAGTACTCCTCTTCCTTCTTCACTTCTGCTCTGCAGTTGTATCATCCACCCTGTCACACACATGCTGTGCACAATCAGCGACTCCAACCATCCCTGTCCGATGCGCTCGGTCTGGAAGCAGTTAATACACAAGGTGCCAGGAAATGGTGCTAAAAATAAGCTGCATGGCTCCTCCATACAACATGCCATGCCTTACACATGGCTTTTTTAGTGTGGCTCTTCAGAGCAGCCCTTTACAGAACATGCTTCTGGGGTTGTTTTTCCTACACCTATTTCGACATCCCCAGCAGAGCCACAGGCAACGGGTGGGTTGCTCCCCCATTACATCCTCTTGCGAGGCCAGTGCTCCCAGCTCCCTCAGTCCTTCTGGCAAGTTTTGCAACATTTGGCTATTTTGAAACC